GCTGATGAAGGCACATGGCAATGGTACTGTGGCAATGGCCGTGACAGTTAGCCATGGCAGTGGCATTGGTGGCAGCGTGAGATCCACCGGTGGCGCTTGGGCAGGAGGTGATGCTCATGCATTTGGCTATGGCAGTGGCAATGTAGGCAGCAGCATAAGATCCAGCTGTAGGACTCGACCTGCAGATGTGGATTTGGCCGTGAGGGATTTCAAGGTCTAGGACTATGTTAGAGATCAAGTATTGGTGTTTTTTTGTTCCTCTATTTGCTTGGACCTCGAGTCCAGGTGCCTAAGGTGCCATAATTTTGAAATAAACATTCTTCCAAAAGTTCAAAAAACATTTTTGGAACAAAAATTCTAGAAAAAAAAATGATTAAAGTTTAGTGAATTTTAATTTGCTCCAATTGAATTTTTTATGGAACTTTTTATATAATTCCCCATGTGCTTGGGTATACAGCCATAGGATCACAGGGTATAATAGGCTTTTGCTTGCTATGGTTTTGTCCTTTATATGACAAGGTGTTTAGTGAATCATAAATAGGTTTTTCTTGACTAAACAATGCCATCAAGCTAAGAGTGAACTTCAAGGGTGAGCTTAGAATTAGAAAAGTCTGATATGCAAGTTGCACAAGAACAATGGCACTAAAAGAGAGTTTGTTTTTCTAGTCCCTTACATAATAAGGGATATATAAAAATCGATCAGGAAAACCTTGGAGCTCTCTTGATCCTAGTGATGGTTGAAGATTCAGCTGCTGCAATCCTCATGCTTGGGTGATTGATATATATTTCTTAGAAATAGAAGAAGGTGATATAAGACACAAGGAAAATTGCTAGGCCCTAGTACCTAATTTTGTTCTTGTGGGCATGAGAAGATGCTTTGAAATTCAATGACACCCTTGAACATCTTGCTCCCACAACATAGAATGCACGTTTCACAAAAAATTGAAAGCTTACAAACCTTTTCTGTAAATGCATAACTTCTTATTATCATTAATTAGATCAAGATTATGCACAAGATCAAAACAATATTTAAGTACAAGTTAATAAAACAATATTCTTGGTTAAAAATAAAAAGAACTAATAAGTCCATGTTTAATTATATTTAAAATTATTATAATATTAAGGTAGGTGATATTTAAATAAATTAAAAAACAAAATAAATAAATAAAAATTATACTGGCTAGAATTTATCCTTCCTCTAGCGACATAATCTAGAATGCTAAGTGATGGTATGATTAATGCTATAAGGGTCAGATTCAGATACTCAACAACACATCTGGGATGAAGAGAGTTATGGTGTTAGGGCATGTTTCTGTATATGTAAGACCAAAATAGCTCTTGATTTGCCATATGATTTGTAGATGTGTAAAAGTGATCCTGATTTCTTTCTCTAAAATCAACAGGATCCAAGTATTGTGATGTGGATTTTTTTTCTAAGATAGCACGAGCAAGCCATAAGCATAATTGGCAGTAAAGAATATAAGAAGAATGATCACTTGTATAAATGTTATTCTTACATCCCAATTCATAATTTGATGCTATTTTATATTTAATAAGTTTTAAGGGGGAAAAAACATTTCATTAGGGTTAAAAAAGAGGAGTTTAATATAAAGAAAAGTAAGGGTTTAGAAACATGCTGGATTTAAACAGAATGCATAAAATAAGAAAGAAAATATAAGAAGGAACAACATAAGACACAATGAGGAATCATCATTAGTATTCTACTTTTAGAAATTCGCTATGTATAATATTCCATCCTTAGTATATTCCATCTTAATGAGTATTGACTAAAGTGATATGAGTGGATTAGTGACAAGAAAGAAAATTAAACCCTTTATTTTTCTCTAACCTGAATTATCCTATTACAATAAATATATTTTTTGTTCTAAGAAAATTTAAAAGTTTATATAAGAAAGAAGTGCTAAAATAAAACACACACTATATTACTAATGCGATGGCAAGGCTTAGAGACTATTATATAGGGTTACAAAACTCAAGAAAAACCTACTAGATATTGATGTTTATAATAAAATAAGAAAGTAAAAATATAAATTTATTTTAAAGAATGATCCAAAAAGGACAGAAGTTTCTTTATATCTAAAAAGTTTCACTTTTATTCTGCATAAAGATAATAAATAAAATGTTAAAAGAATATGAGTTTTGATAATTATAGATGCAACATATCTAATTTTAAATATATAATAGGGAATAAAAAAGTTTTATAAATATGTTATAAATATAATTTATGAACTAAAATATAAACTAGTTGCAATTAATTTTGGTAGAGGTTCTGCCCTTTTGTTATTCCTCATTTAGGAGGTAGTATAATGATATTTATTTATTTAATACGGTTTATAGTTGATAAGTATCCCTGATTATGTACATAAAATCATATTTCAGTGGAATTGTAAAAGGTCCTTTTAACTAAAAATAAAAAAATTGTGACATTGCTTCCTTAATATTGGCATTTCAAAAACTAAATTAAACAGTAGTTAATTTTAATTTTATGAAATGGTAAAAATATAGTTTTTTTACATTAAAAATATATAGTTTCATTTATTCTGGTAAAATTATTATATTTAAATAAAGAAAACAGAATTTATAATTATTCATTTAAACCAATTATTCAAGAGAATGATAGTTTTCTATACTATTTTTATAATAATTCATAATAATTATAATTTAGTAATGTATGAAACATCTAACACCAAGTAATGTATAGTGGGCAGGAAATTAAAATTGGTTGTTTAACTACTTGATACCAAAATTTAAATTCCAAAACTTATAATGAATTTATATTTATGGCTTGGTACTTTATGGTCATTATTGATAGTATTGTGTTGTTTTTTTTATTTAACTTAAATTTGCAAATATCATATAAACTTAATTCTTAAAAAAGAAATCTAATTTCTGATTATTTACATTAAGCAATTGGTATGACCTTGAGTATCACTTGCCCACCAAACAATATTAGGTGATTTTGCTTCATAGATAACTAAGTTACAATCATATCGAATTGTAATAAAAGTTAGAAATAAACATATTTCTGAATGACAATGTTTATTTATAGACCATAATGGTTTATTTTTTTCTGTATATAACACAAAATTACCATATTTGTGAAGAATAAGCTTACATATGTTGTTATAAATTTCATTATTTGAAGATTTCCATAACATATTCTTACCAGAGTATAATCCAATTATACAATTAGAATGTAGGAAAAGTAAATTCTTCCCATTTGGTGATATTAGAAATTGATCATTATGTAAAACACAATTTTGAAATCCAGCATACAAAGTAGAAATATGAGTATCACAATTATATTTGTTTCGATAAGTAAAATTGATTTTGTACTTATATGCACTTACAGAACTAGTATTATTCCACCAATAAAATGCATCATAAACAATTTCATATTTCTTTGAAGTTATCTTTACATAATCAGGACAACCATCTTTTATATCATTTGTATAAGCACCAATTAAATCTCTTAAACCAGCTCTTAATGTACCGCCATTAATACTTCTTTTTGATTCTTTACCAGTTGAACACTTTGGAGGGTTACCATCCATATGGCGAACACCTACAAGAGCAGAACCTCTACCAAAATCAATAGCTATTAAATCACCATAATTTATAGAATATAATTTTCTCTTTGTTGTAATTATATTTCTCAAAAGAGTGTTAAAACCATAATTATATTTATTTCATGTTCAGATAATGTATTATTTTCTCCCCATTCTAAATTATCACGTATTGCAACTGTATTGAAAACAAATATAAATAAAATGATGCCTTTTAACATTTAACTTATTCTGAACTATTTAAAGAATAATTTAAATAATATATATAGTAATATAATCTTAACGTATATTAAAATAAAAAGTATGACGCTTTTAGAAAGATAATATACTTTATACCATCATGAAAAGTGTTCGCGTAAAATGTTCTTATAGCAGCATAGGTGGCGTGGACGACGCAAGTGAAACGATGCCTTGCTCTGAATGAGGCAACGTGTACAGCCATGATTGCGGCATATGGTTTAGCACCTTCGGAGGCTGGGGAGCTCTTCTGGTGTCTTTCAACCGAGGCCGTGTGCCTCTCACTGCTCAACCTTTGCTAAGTGACTTAGATCGAGCAGCCCATGTTGCAGAGCGTTTGTTCCAGCTCCACGGCCTGGTGCGAAACTCTCAGGCACTGGTGATGCTGTCGAGCATTTCCTCGTCCGCTGGGAGGGACAAACTCGAGGATGGCTTCGTTGGAGACGCTCCCTTCAAGGAGTCAGAGATTTTCATCGAGATTGACAAGGTGGTGCATGAATTCACTGCTGGAGATGGATCGTCTCATTCCAGGGCTGAAGAGATCTGGCGAGAGATTGCTAGATGTGAACGTCGCCACCACAGTGAGATGCTAGCATTCGGTATCCACCAGGCACGAGTAGTGCTCCTGGAGTGAAGTTTGTGTAGTCTTCACGGATGGACAAGAGCTGCGAGACGCGATCGAGCAAAGGATGCTCACGAAGCTACTGTCGTTGGAGTGATGCCCAGTGACGCCTTCCAAGTTCATGTAAAGCTCCATGGCCTGTGTGTCGTGGCCACGTTGGGCGTAAGCTGCGATCATCGTGTTCCAGGCTCGTATCCGGCAACGGTGATTCTCTTGTGGCTTGGCCTCCTCCAAACATCCACGGGCATGCTGATGAAGGTGACGGTGATCCGGCCTCACTCCTTCCAGCTCCAAAGATCCGAAACGCGTCTCGCTCTCGACCATTTTGAGCGCAGGCCGCGATAAGAGCACTCCAAGCCACCACTGTTCTCTACGGCATCCCATCAAACACCTCCTTGGCCTGCTCGAGCATGCATTTCCACTGCCAGGTTCTTGAGGAATCGGAGCTGGGCGGTTCTTCCCACGAATCTCATCGAGTTGCATCCTGACGATGTCGCCCCCAGCTCGCGCAAGCGTGCCCCGAAAAGTCCATCACCCTAAAATTCAAAATCAAATAAAAATTAATGTTGACCAAATTCAAAATTAACGTTGACCAAAAGTTAACTAACTCGGGTCGTTGACTGATATAGCGATGCAAGCTAAGGAAGTCAAGAAGAAGATCCAGAAAAACACATGAAGAGGATCGATCCATCCTTAATCCTCTTCATGGGCTTTCTGTGCCATCCTCTTCTTTGCTTGCTTAAGTCATGCTCTCCCGGAAGAATGATCCCGAAAACTTTTCACGAAGATCGATCCGCTGCTGCTTGATCTCCTTGCTCGTCGATCGAGACGATCGATTGATTCAGCGACTGATAGCGCAAGAGCTCCCCCGTCAGGAACTCGGGCTCCAAGAACTTCGCAGCAAACGTCCACAGCCGATGGACGTCCTCGAAGTTGGAGACGAGGCCCAGCGTCGCAGTGAGCACTGGAAGATCCGCCAGCTTCTTCATGCTCCCGGAGTGTGCTCCACCGCCTGAGTGATCCGAAAACACGCTCGAGCACTTCTCCGCCAGCAATCTCTTCTTCCTCGGTGCCGCCTTGGCCGACGAAGCTCCGCCATTGTTCTCCTTATCACTCCCACTCGTCACACACACCTCCTCCAGGAAGAGATTTGAGAGCACGCCGCAGCCGAGAGAGATGGAGCTCCGATCCGCCAGCTTTTGGACCAATGTCGGCTGGATCAGCGCACCCTTTTGATCGTAGAGATTGAACGCCACGGCCGGCCCCCGATCGATCTGTGCCTTGGGTCCAAAGATTTGCACCAGCGGTCTCCTCCGCCACCTTTTCGTCGCAGTGGAAGGAGCACTCAAGGAAGAACTAGAGCTCCCGGGAATGTGGTGGAAGAGCGAGCTCATGGAAGCGATGAGCCAGTCCATGAGGCTCTTGATCCGGCAGTTCGTCTTGTTCAATCCCATGGTGTTTGCGTGATCCAATCCCTGGCAAACGATGAGAGGCTCGGGTCGGTGCTGCTGCTGCCGCTCCCTTTGATCGTCGTCAATGTCGTCCTCGTCCCAGGGCTCGTCGCTGCCGAGGTCATCGTCGTAGTAGTCGCCCTCTCCATCCCAAGAGCTGATCGAGTTCTTCCGCCACGATCGTCCGGAAGCGTTGAGGCTCCTGGACGAGGAGTTGTTGTCCACGTTAACGTTGGACGCTCTCGCGAGCTGATCTTCCATTCGCGGCACAGGCTGATCCTCGTCTTCTTCTTCCTCGCGGATGGGAAGGAATCTGGGGAACAAGTCGGAGCGCCTGCTGTCGATGAGCCCATCGTCTCTTCCAATCTTCCGAAAGATCGAATCGCTCGAGTCGCCGTTTGGAAGCGCCCGGAGCTCGTCGCCTTGTTCTTGCTGGGAGGTGTAAGAACACGATGGCTCGGAGCTAGCGGAGCTGGAGCGGGCATAGTGATCGTTCGCGACTTCCTGGATCTCGGAAGAACACTGCTAGCAAAACAAAACAAAACAAACAAAAGAATGATCAATCACGCCATGCATGCGAAAATAGTCACGTACCTCTCGTGATGGTCCGAATCCAAATCCATTGTTGCTCTTGCCAAGATCGCTAGAGCCATTGTTCCCGTTGGAACTCTCCTCCTCCAGACGATGATCG